ATTACATAAGGAAAATAATATAGAATCGATTACCTGCCCTTGTTCTCTCCACTTGGTGTCGCTCTCTGATTCATAGGTCAGCACCATTTTGGACCAAAGCAATTGTTGATGGATGATGTTTGAACGAATTGCGATTTTTCTTTCATTTTACTGAGAGGAAGTTTTGTTCTACACTCGTAAGCATGAAATATAAATATTGATAATTTAATCCTCTGACTGAAATGCGTCGTTGCCTTCTTCTGGGGTTAGAGCACTGTTTAAAATCACATTTGGTTAAAGGTCATCAGCATAGAAAATCGTTTTCAGCTATAGAAAATGTTTGTAAAGTAGTTACGAGTTTTACGTATTCGATGTGAATTTAAAGCAGTGTTAGTTAGAAAAAGAATATCTCCATTTTTCCTGCGAAAATGTTTAGTCGTTGTTATAATGGACCCGGATATAGATTTAGATCTAAGTCCGTGTTGTTACGTAATGAACATTTCCTACGGAAATATACAAAATACAAAGATCAACCTATCAAATTTGCAGCTAGTGAATTTGGTGATAGGAGTATTTTGACACCGAAGATGGTTCTATGTCATCTCTAAACAATGAAAGATAAAATGCCAAAAACATGCTCTGCCGGATACCAGGATATGAGAGCGTCTATACAATCACTTGACATTCCAAACGAGCACGTGAGGCCACAGGCTTCCATAGTGATCGCCATGTTTCTCTATACACTGGAGAAAATTACGACTCTCATAGTCACGAAATTCAAAGGGGGGAAACGGTTTCCAATTTGAAAATAAAACGTCCATTAGAAATTGATTTTGACTAAAGATGAAGTTTAGCTATAGGATCTAAATTAGAGACTATACACTGCGGTATTGTACACAGCGCCAAACGACAACACACAATCGATGTATGACGGTCCCTATCACTAGGGATGGCCCTTCACATTGACTGCTCCTTGTCAAAATTCCCGAGTTGTGCCCCTTGTATCCCTTTCAATTTTTTTAATCTAATATGTTCGCGAATACAGTCAGATAATTCTACTGAAATGACCAGGAAACTACTATGTAAGTGTAGGATGTATCTCAACACACAGAAGGGTCGTCTCACTAATTGGCAAAACAACTGCATTTTATTTTTTTCCAGAACAAAAATGTGATATTTGAAAAAAAAATGCAGTTAAACTGTCCCTCTGTAAGACCATCGTAAAACTACGGTATCTATATTACCAAAGGCTACCCGTATCTATCTACATAAATCTAGACTTTTTTTATTTGCATTGATATAGAAATAATCAGTTTTGTAAGCCCGGATAGGAGCCCGCGTGTGGTTTTAATGTGGATAGAAACTGTGGGGGAGGGGTTGGGGGCTGAACACGGGGCAGGGGACCTTATTTTTTCACTTCCAATCAAACGTCGGTTCCATAGGGCTACCAGACTTCCTTGGACGACACATGTGTGCTGTTTAATTCGTTCGTGAACACATATTTGATAAGACGTATTTTGTTTACTAAGTCCACATCAATTCTTTTTTTCTGAGTGTCATTGTAGTACAGTATTTTTTATTCAATATCATTCTGTCAATTTAACCAATGCTCAATAAATTATACTTTGCTTAATTACAGGAGTACTCATGTTACATTTATTTTATCACCTTTATGTGAACGAGTTTCCTCAAAATTCTATGTTATTGATAGATATTACCAGTGTCAAGACTTTCCTTCCTTGATTGAATCAGACATCGTCACGTGCAGGTCGATATATACATACCTGCATGGTTTCTATTTTACTAAATTTAGAGCAGTAAAATCATACAGACCCCGGAATGAGAAAATATGTCGTAAAAGATAATAATTTGTGATATTCTAATTTGGATGTTCTATTTGTTAAAAAGGTTATACAAATATCTCCATATATTTTATCCCTGTTAACATTTGTTGATTATAATATAGTTGTCTGAATGTTCATTTTAAATATAACAGAATTTCACGAATAAATCAAATCTTACATATGTACATATGTACGAATAAATCAAATCTTACATATGTTATCAAATTACTGATACATATGTAACATTAGAAAAAATGAGGACTTTTAAGTTTTTACGCCCGATGTTTATATATTTCTACCGTATTGATATTACACCATATTGAGCTCATAAAATGTCCATAATTGGCAACTATTGAAGCCAGCCAAAATACAATCAGTATGAAATGTATTTTAGTACTTGACATTTTCGTAAACAATTATGACATTTAAACAATTTCCGTACCGTCGTATGTTTTAAGTAAGAGATGGTTTACAGGAAATAATCGACATCAGAGGTGAACAATGATCACCTGAGATGATATCAGTTAGAAGACATATTCTATCATGTAACACGAGTTGTATAAGTTGTATACATATGTACATCATTTGTCGTCAGTTGCACCTTCAGTAGTCCATCCTCTATACTTTCGCCTTTTTGTAGACCTATTTCTATTTCCAAACTGCCACTTCTTTAGTTCCTGTGTCGGCGACAATTTGAAAGACCTCGACGGACAATAAACAGGTCCCCGATCATGTACCTGTTACTAAATTGATATTCAGTTTGTATGTCCGTTCGGCCACCTAACAGTATTGTCCGGTAATGTTTCTCCGAGGCTATGTAAACGTCATCGAAAAATAATAAACAATGATCCAGCGGTTCATGCCAAACATCTCAGATACCCAGATGTGTTCATAACATCCTGTCCCATTCTTTATGCACCGTCGTACTGCTCAAAGCATTCCTAAGACCAGGACGACGACATAAGCTTCTCATTAATTCGACTTTTCTCGTACAATTAGCATCAAGCGTAGGCAGCGCCGTAATGAGCTGAAAATTTATATACCGAACCAATCATCGGCCATTGTAAGCAAACAATCTCATTTTCCCATCGCGATAACTAATTATTTTTCGCGATTCATTCTGTGCCATCCAGCTCCGAGCTTTGGGGGTAATTGGCAATTACGGTAACGATAAGAGCTCCATGGAGACCTAAGAAATGAAAACTCTCATTATAACCTAGACAAAATTGGTTTCAAATTAATTATTTAGACTTGGTCTGAATAATAAAGTTTTGGACTATATATGAAATATTAAGTATGATAGGGGCTATAGAATGTTTCTCACGAATTTGTAGGAATAAAATGTTGAAGACAAACATGGTTTATTAATTAATCTCATACATCGATTTCCTCTACTCATTGACGTTATTCGTCGATTAATATATCGTCTAAAAAGAGCTCTGTGTTTACACATTTGGTAGCTATATACTTACAGCTTGTATACATATCAGTAGGATTAACCGACGCCATACCTTCGATGCCAGTAGATTTGTTTTTGATGAACTCCATTTCATAAGCTGGCGAGTATAAATGTTTTAAGGATGGTTGTATCGGGGACTTCAATATATAGCTATTCTAAGTCCGTGGTAGTATGCTGTGCTGGACTATTTTGCAAAGGGTCTGATCAGATGTTTTTACTTTAAATTCTGCTATGTCTTTGTATGCAGATTTGGCGGTATGTTCAGAGTGTGTCATTCTTTATTCAGGAACTATTTTTAATGTTTCCCTCCAGAGAACATTGTACGGATATCGGACAGAGTAATTTTACACGTTAGCTATCATACGTGCATATATATTGGCGTCACACAAAAATATCGAGTGATTCTGAAAACCACGTGAAATAGCAATATGAAATCATTAAAATTTTATGTTCCAATTACTAGCAAATTGCAATATAAATTTGTGATCGCTTTCACATAGCAGGGCTAGTATTTATCCAGTAAAGAATCTAAGATAGTGTCAGGCTGTGAGTAAGAAAAGTTAGTCTGGATCATACACATGTTAATAACTCATCATTGCTACATAACTACAACGGTAATATAATTTTTACTGTGACAACTAGATACAGTATTGATGATGGCAAATAAAGTATAAAAATCTAATATTCCTCTGAGCAGAGATCATGTCATTGTGACCTGATCCCTCACCAAGCGGGATCTTCTGCCAGGCATAGGGCTGGATTTTCGCCTCTGAATCCACTCCGGTAGTAGTTAGCCTGCTACAGTATTGAAACTGTACGAAACCGCTAATTGGACGTGAATTAAAAAAAAAATATTTCAGATATTTTTCTACAGTGCGGCACAAAATAACGACTGGCATGTTATCATCTATACTATATATATATCTTAAATAATTACACTCATACACTGGGAGGCCATACGTAATGTTCTAATTAATTCATATTTGATAAATAGTTTTCACTTTTTAATTTACGCAATGTGATTATTTACCTGTGAATCTCTGTTTGCTATCAAGTTAAAAAAATGATGAGATGATATTTACATAATAATCATTTTTCATTTCTTTTAGTAACAATATTTAACATTAAAATATTCATGGTCCGTCATAACCTCGACCAAATAGAAATCACCAATAATAATTTGTCGTTGAATTGCATTATGTCCGAAATCATCACTATAAAAATCAACACAGATACGTCGTCAATTTATTTTATCATCACATGATGTTTCTCTGCCAAAATGCATGTAATTAGATTTATGTAAATCAATCTTTAAAATATTCAATCGTTGTCTCATTAGCATCTTTAAATCAGTATCTTTTCATGTACATTACCACCATTTTGAACTGTCCGTGTTTGATTAACATCCATACAATAACGCTGAGCATACAATTATTGGTTAAAAGCATTTAATATTATTATCTTGATCTAACGATATTAAATTTCACATGGTTCATTTCCAATCGTTGGTCGGTTTTCATTAACGCATTAAATCTACAATCTCGCAGTGAAAAGCTTTGCTCAAATTTATGGCAAGTGGGCGGAGCTAAGCTTTTCCGCCAGAGTCACTTCATTTTGCAAGCGGCGTTCTGATTGGCGGAGAGGTAATGGTAGATGATCCATTCAAATGGCAGATGTGTCTCATTCAGTGTAGATGCCAGATTTTGACGGTCTAATTTATTTCGCTGAGCGGTGTTATGGTGGAAGACACTGTTGTCTACATTATCACAGTTCTCTCTCCGCTGTGTGTAACAAATTCTTGTTTTGTCGGACATATTCGCAGTCGACAGTGAACGATCGAGTCATGTACATTGCAGTGTCGAGGTGATTTGTACGATGTTTATTTCCTGTGTACACAACAATCCCCAGTCGGCCACGTGAGAGACAACAGATCACAACAGTTATAAATCGGCCTCGTGGACCGTGTTTGGTCTCTCGAGTAGTAACCATTCAGAGTTTCTCGTCTCGGAGCAATTTACAAATAAACTCAGACTTCCACGGTGGACATTAGCCCTACGGATCTAGCACACATTTAGATGTCTAATGCTAAATCACCACACATCGTGACCAAAATGACGAACGGTAAGTGAGCGGAGTAGTCGGGATTTTGGGAGGGTGGAGGGTGTATAGCTTGGGATGATTGTCCGGGACTGTACCACGAAGATGGTTTGAAGTATTTGTGTCATAGGTTTTGAAGGCAATGAGAAAGGAACGTCTGAGACGTCATTCTGGGTTGTTGACTTGATACTATATAGTCTAGACCTTGTTATTTAGGGAAAGATCTTGGTGTCCTTATTACAGAGCAGTGGGAAACGGTTTATCAGGATATGACAAGGGGTCATGCTAGAAGCGGGGATTGACAGTACTAAGGGTATGATGTCATCATTATTGAACGGTAATGACCAACGCTAATCCCCGTCTCGTGTAAGTTTGTTTACCTCCCGACTCTCTTCTCTCTCCCTTCACTAATGAGATAAGGACACGCATTTCTGCGTATGTGCGGCTGTCGCTGTGTGTACCAAACGGTACGCACATGTATTTATCGTCACATGCGTTTCTCACACTATCTAAAACTACACCGGTTTAGTAATTTTTTATAACGATTATCATTATTAACACTCTTCTCGACACACGTATATGTATCCACACGTGGTTTACACACGTGTACGTCTTCATTGTAAACACGTAGGAACTAAACAGTTGTGGAAAAACCTCTCCTTTGTCCATTCATGGGGACCATATAACACATTGCATCATGTACATGTGTACTTGTAGGAGTGCTTATATTTAGCAGGTTTGTTAGCCCCCTCAATACGAAAGTAAAACTGGTTTTGAACGAGGGACCGTTACATCTCCTGGTAGCATCGTTAGGACTCCAGCTGGTGTCTCTACATCGTACCTTTTGTGTGATAATCGCATTAAGGAATGGTTTAGAATAATAGCGTTTTTTCTCTAAATATTCTACCTGAAACGGTGTACGCTTGGCCCAAGTTATCTCTTCTAATCGTGAGGCAATCTTTCCTGAGTGATAAACCTGGCTTCCACCATCTGTTGCGTTTGGTACAAACTGATCAATTAATAACGTGGTTCTTGGTTAATAACACTGTCGTAGTACCAAGGTACTCTTTACAAGCGTGTTACACCAACTATCTCTATATGCACATACTGGTCAAGATACACGTATTGCCAAGGTACACGTGCTACAAAGAAAAATCATCGATATAAGCGTATCACTGAGATACGCATATTAACAAAATACGCGTATAAAAAGATACACTTACTACAAAGATACACGTTATACTGAGGTATATAAGATAAACGTACCACCGATACATCTTCTACCAAGTTACACGTACTACAAAGATACACGAACCACCAAGACATCTACTACCAAGTCACACGTACTACAAAGAAACACTCTCTACCAGAATTACACGCACCTAGATTCACCAACTAATCAGATAGGTACCAACGGGTACACCTATCATCAAGATCCACTTACAACCAAGATACAATTACTACCAAAGTACACGTACTACCAAGTTACACATACCACGCTAACGAATTACACTCATGTATACCACCTACTACCTAGATATACCTACTTCAAATACACAATTATTACCGAGATACACACACTACAAAGACTTATCTACCGAGATCCGTGTATATTTTACACAATTCTTTACACTTTTGTAAAAAGAGTTTCCAAACACTGCAATGTCTTCTATCAACATCAAGTTATACACGTACATTACACGTGATGTGAAATAGACGGAAGTTAATTGAAGTTCAAATTACTCTCACAACAAAATTTCTTGGCTGGTTTTTCAAACATTAAGGGAAATATTTAATAACAAAATGTATACACATGTCGAGGTCTAATTTGTAGAGCTGTATACACATCAGTTACTAACAATATTGGTTTACAACATCTGTTTTATTATCAATGTACACTTTAACATGTACATAGATATTATATGAAATATGTTTACGTTCACCCTACCGCTAGTATAACGTAGTCTTATGCAGGTAGAACGTACGTGGATCTATACAAATCGAAAACCAGTGGGATATGATCATATCTCATTTCAATTTATTAATTAACTCCTGATTGTGGTAAGTCTGGAATTAGTCCTGATTTACCTGTGCCTGTGACAGAAGTATTTGACGGGTGGTTACATCCGGTATGGGCGGTGTATCGTGTTTCGTTTCAATGTACTATGGTCTACGCCGATCCTGACTTGCACCACCAATCTATAGTTCCTCATTAAAATCTCAACCATAAATTCCTTCCTTTTAAATGTAAAACAATAATAAAAACAGACTGCAATTTCTGAAATACTTTCTGTACCTTCCTGTCAGCTCGTCTCATAGGAGGACCTGTACACACCTTACCCAAGTTATGCTGTAGAACCTCCTGAGATCACAATACAAACAAAATATGTATTTTAAATAGTTTGATTTTTTTTAAAAATTAACGAAATAAAAGGGGAGATATTTAGCTCTAACGATGCTCATGTAGATGGTCAGATTTAACGAGAAATGCCGAAGGTACACGAATTCTGTTCAGGTTGATAAACGGTTATCGCAGAAAAGTATACAGACTCTGAACAGATACGGTGTTATATGTTAAATTTTATTTTTTTTTAACCATCTTAACAATATGTTACAAAGCTCGATGTAAGAATAGGATTGTCACACCGAATACCACATGTCTGGTTTATATAGTCGGACTTACGCATTTATACACGTAAAATAGTTTATCATTTAAAATAGCGATGAGATTCGTGCAGATATGGACGGGCCCAAGTCCGAGATGTGATGGATCGTTACAAGTTCAAAAAGTTCAACACAGTTAATATAGGTTACGAGAGTAAAGGCACCACACAAACTACGTAAGGGAGGACCTTTTATTACCTAAAGGTGAAACAAGGTCAAATAAAATAGGTCAGAGGTCGGTAAACGTTTCAGCCCTGCCATGGGTTGAAACCGTAAATCAGAAGCATGGCAGAGCCCGTCAGCATACCGTTAGCAAGATTCTAATCGTCCTGCCAGTGAAATGTCCAGGGACGTACAGTACTTACCATATATACACTACATGTTTTAATGAGACAGAAGGGATGGAAAGAGTTGAAAAAAGGGTAGGGGGTGGTATAATGATACTGACCCTAAGGGAACCTAGGAGGACGACTGCCCGGGGTGCTGTACCGTGTAACTAGTTCCAGCTGTTGGGCATCACTTGATGGATGGAACACTCGGGGGTCGTATGTCAAGTTTAGATTGTTTTCACTTGGCTAAACAAACTGTCCTTTGTACTAAATTAACCGTTGAGACGGCCCCTGACGGGACGTTTCCTGTGACAACGGTTGTTCCGGTTCCTTTCAGGTGACATGAATGTATTCGTATATTTATTAATCTGATAGCTTTTAGTGAGTGTTGCTAGAATGCAGAGTTTTTGATAAATTAAATTGCTACGATACTCTCTTCAAGGTGATCTTTAGGGAACATTTGCAAATTGAACGAACATTTTATTTATGTGATAAAAACTGCCACTCGCCGAAACTGGTCTGTAGCATCATGTAATCGTTTTGGTACAGCCATGCTGGTCAGTTGGTCAAATTGTGTTATATGCAAGTCCGTGTGGAGAGATTTTTTTTTTTGCTAATTCTACATCATAGTCTGTTATGAACTGACGTAATAGCTGATGGCGTACATTTTTACGTACAAATTTAATCCATGGATAACGGGGAAGGTTTTTCATCAGTCTGTACCTCGTAATTGAGTATGGCCGTTAAGAGATATTAAATTGTTGGGTCTCACGTCCGTCATATGGCACCTCAGATCAATAAGTACACATAGAGTAATTGGCGTGACAGAAACCCGCGGATGACTTCAGCATTGTGCATTAGGAATTAACACGTTTTCAAATGGAACTCCAATTATCCAAAAACATTTCCTTGCAGTTGATTTCTCTTTGATGTCACGGCCAAAGAAGGACATTTCCATTTTGTGAATAATCATCAAATGTATCTAAAGATATATGTAAATTGAATAATACATGGATACGTGTAAAATCGATGAGGAGATTTATGTTCTTAAAGTTTATTGGTATCCATTGCCGATACCTTATCTGATATCGATGTTAATGAATATTTAATGATGAGTCATTCGAGCCTTTGGTTGAAGGTTATTTCACAGGAGTTTTATTCATAAACCAATTACATGTTATTTTGTCCGTAATTATTACGCCCCTTTATAATTTTCCACATTTGACTTTTATATATTTCACATAATCAAGTATATTTTGTTCTTCAGGTTCGGAGGAATGCTCGGCCGTCGTGAATGGAGTCACAATGCAGCAAACCGGAAATGACCAAACCGGAAATGGTTCCATGTTTGGCAATAATGTGAAGGCATGCGCAGGATGTGGTGGACGGATACTTGACCGTTTCCTGCTTCATGCCATGGACAGATACTGGCATACAGGCTGCTTAAAGTGTTCCTGTTGTCAGACCAAGCTAGAACATCTTGGCTCTTGTTTCTCACGGTCTGGAATGATCCTGTGCAAGAACGATTATATTCGGTACGTAGTTGTACGTCATTTTAAGTTCGAGTCCATTTGTAACAGGTACAGTATTGGTTTCCCAACATTCATTGTTCCCCCTCCCCCTCATCCCGCTTCTTTTCTGTTTTCCTTCATTGCCTTTCAGTTCTGTACTAAATGAATATATTTATATAGATATACAAACTAAGATAAAAACGTAATTGCGCTTGGCATAATCCTAGGCAATTGTTACAGCTATATTACTCTCATTTTGATATATATTAAAGTGCTTCCAAGTATATTTAATTTTTGAATGTTGCTTTCCGATAAAGGTAATTGTCTTCTTGACTTTAAAGAAAAAATAATTTTAATGAAAGTGTCGTGTGCAAGTCAACTGAATTAAGATATAGCCTTATATACACAGATATCAAAGGCACAGGAAGTCATTAAATGATACCAACTTTAATCTTAAATTGAAAGTATCATTTTTTCTTGATAATGACGTAAGCTAGTGTATAGTTAAGATGACAGACGATAAATATCACATCGTGATAATGTCTAAACAGGGCACATGTCGCCCCGAGAATGACTTCTGTACAAATCAAATACCTGCATTCAGTCAGCCGAAACGGTGAACCGGTGATAAATGTACTGAGAAGACATCACGCGTAAAATTAATATTATCTAAAATGATGCAGATTTTCGTGGGAAAGATTTTGTCTGCAAGTTTAAACATTTAAGTAATATATTATTTATATCTGCCGTCTTTGCAAACTCGTGTGATATACTATTATCAATTACGTTCTTACCCGGATGCAAGTCCTGGTATTCTAGATAACACTTTGCCGAACGTCGAATTGTTTGTAAAGGAAATTTTGTTCCGGCCGACTTTCGCTTACTTCCGCTTTATAAAACCTATATATTCACTGTGTATAAAGGACGTGTAGTAGCATCGTGTGTCAAAGTAGAACTTGATATGTAGGGAATTATCCCATATATCGTTTTACTTTTTCTTCATATCGTTCGATTTATTATTCATAAATTTGTAAATTATGATTATAAATTTCATGATCATTCAAACGTTTGATGTGATCTAAACCATACTAGTATTTCAATCTAATTTGGAAGGGTTTTGTTGATGATGACTCATTACGATTTCCCTACACATTTCCCAGCTCTTATTTCTTACTCTAGTTGAGCACTGATAAATGCTCGCGTGCACTTTGCTTCGATCCGTGTCGATGAATACTGTCCGATTGATTTGGCTAAAGTGAAAGCTACAAAAGTATGTTCCAATCAGAGACATCCGGGTATTGGCGATGCGCGCGATTTTTCCATCACCGATGATTATTTTTATAATATCTGGGATCAAGAATAAAAAGCATGACTACGTAATGTAGGGCTTTTGTTTGTTATTAATAGATGGTGAGCAGTGATGTACAGAAGTGTGATAATTTCGCACTGCTAATGACTTTCTTTTTACTAAAAAAAATTAATTGAATCATGATTTATTTCGCTGTTTACTCTCAGTTCTATGACGTACCAATCATTACACCTGGGCACAGGTATTGATGTTGTGGTCGTGAACTTAATTGGCACCCTTCTTTTAGATAACGTTGATTAAATGATCACCGAGCTTTATGTATATTTAAGAGATATTCGTTTTCTTTTGGCGCTTGTATTTTCAGTCCGTTCGCCTCCCTGGATTAATCAAAAGAAATATGTTCACTAGGTTTTCTATTACAAGTCGGTGTGATTAGCTGCTTTATGTGTATGGTACCGACGTCGTTAGGCCGGAGCTGCTTACTTTATTAATGTCCATCGGAATTAATTTTACATTACAATCCAAATCGTCACTGCAGACCAGACGTACGAGTTAATTCTGTCGGCTGGCATGGGCTGGCGATATCAATAATACATATTCACCATTAATTGAGTCTTAATTAAAAGTTTTCGCCCTCATCCCTTCTGCTTACCATTGCCAAGTCGGAGTAGATTACTGTCGGTCGGTCGTAAGAACTAATCACGGGTATTGACAAGGGGAGTTCTACCTATCGTGCGGGGAAGCTTTTTACCACTTTGTACTATATCCTTGTAAGTTCCCTAGATATCATCCGATTTCATTCAGATTTCTTCTTGTTCAAGCTTAAAATGTTGCTCTAAAACTTATTCACATTTCAAATAACAACATACCACTTAGGTTCATTTTGATGTTTAAACATTTTCTGTAAAATGATGAAAGTCATTAACCATCTATATGGTATTGTATGAGAACTTGTTATAAAGCATTCTTGTGCTTTCATTTCCACGGTAAAAAGTTGTCTATTTCTGCTGTCGGCGAGTATAATATCTCTGACACCATGTTTATCTTTGTTCTTCGTTTTGAAATTATCGATATAGTAAAAAAAAGTTGTACCTGCGCTACGTAATTACGTGATGACACAGTTATCTCCTCCTTGGAAGGAGCTATTCCGTGTTATATCTTTGTTAATTAATAGTAGTACGTGTCATAACCGAGTTATTTTTGCAGTGTTAATTACGTAATGTCAAACACAGCTGATGTTTACTTGTAGACGTAAAATAACACTCATATTAATTAATAAATCTCACATAATCAGGTATGCTCGTTTTACACCGAGAAAGGACCGCCGAGAACATCTGCCAAATCGTCCTTCCAATTTGTTAGGTTCAAAAAGGGGCAGGCTCTATTAGCTCATATTCATCAATAATTGTGTTGCATCGCGGTTATTTCGCCGGCTTGATTAGACCAATATCAATCTTGGTTGTGACGTTGTTGTGCCGGGACAAGAGAATGACTATTTTAGCTTAATTGAACATATGTTAGCCATGTCAAATTTTAGCGGGCGTTTGTATTATACTCCACGGTTGTTGCGTTCGGCGGTACACATGTACACGGCGCGAGAGGACTGCGAGAGGCTGTACACTGTAGCTAGGTATATAGGACTTAATTAACCCATTAAGTCTCTAATTAAACCACGAATTAAAGAGCAAATTGAATCTTTTGATCCGCTAGACCCTTCGGCTATTTCTTATCCAGTAATGCGAATGTGTTTTATAATGATATATGTATGATATACACACTCTTGTGTTGTATCGCTTAATACACTGTACATATTAAATATAGCAACAATGTCGAGATCACGTGGAATGCTATTTGAACACATGCCCGGATTTCGAAATGATGGCGCCCATACCGAACACTGAACGTACTTTTTTCAATGTTACTGTGGATTAATTCTGGTATTGCATCTGCAAAACAGAACCCTGCATCATAATGACGGAGAATAGTTCAGACAGCAGTTTTCTAGCTTTTTATTGAATTCATCCATTGAAATATGGTCGAGCTAGAAAATTGCTGTCAAACTTAATCCAGCTGATGCGTTGATTGAAAATTTTGTCGACGAATGACCAAGTACAGAAACCAACGATAGCATAATGCTCGGTAATATAAACAGTATAAATAGGATGGTCATGATTTCACAGATTGTATGGCTCTCCAATCCACACTCCTTATCAGCAGCATATCATATGGTTTTGCTGGAAAAAAACCCCAGATATTCTGATAGGTAAAATTCAGGTCTCATGAAAAGTATGGATAGCTAGCAAATCAGCGTGATAGTCGCTGGTAGTATTAGAAACAAGGACTATAACTGACGTTTACATGTAAGTAATATAACTGCTTTCAATTTTCACGTCGTAAAGGATATTATAAAAGAAAAACCCATTGAAAGCAGCCGTTATTTGTACATCTAGAATCTACAAAGCCAAGCAATTATCACGTGTGTACATAAGTAGTATTATTTACAAGTGGTTTATAACACCAATGCGTTCAGACAGAGAGATAATTTATTTACAATTTTACACTGTAATGTATTTTTCATTGTTGAGACATTTCAACATTAGGAAGTTTGTAGTGATGATATCCACTTTCGTTTTCCATTAACTTTGAGGAGTCTACTGCAACATGACAGAGCCTGGATGGGCTGTTTGGCGACAGTTATCTAGTTATTGATAATGTTTATTTTATTGGACTACAGATAATTTAACAAAAGCACATCTCAGACATAGAGACAGTGATTTATGACAGATAACGAAGATTTACCTACCTTTGTAACTCAGTGATGTTGGGTTTTTTTTTTTTTTCAAATCGAACACGCCTTGAATCGGTACGTGCACGGGCCTATGGTTTTCATTAATATAATGCGGAGTTTTATGAAATAATCTCTTAAAGTTATATCTCAGGAACTCTCTTCTGCTTGTTTGTGTATTCGGTTTGATTGGTGCCGTTAGGGAGGAATATTTGTTTTAATATGATGTTCCAACTCCCAAATACATCAGGAAGCATCAGCTACACATTTCCATCATCAAATATGGTTTACATAGCACGATATAATAATACATTACTACATCGATGTAATGGTTATCGTTTAGATCAGAGAAAGGAATTAAAATGATTGTATTATCTGTGACATCAGTAGATCGTATCGGTGACATGGTCGAACGGCAAGGATTGGAGCGAGAGATTGAATTCAGTACTGTAGACACAGGCACCATATCAAATCAATTTATATGGCGGTAGGCCTGATTAATCGGGCATTATCACAATCATCTTCTCATGTTCACACTAAATTGCTTTATTGGGGTTCAAGACAGGGAAATAGCATATAAATAGATATTTTTATTTCTACAAAAATACGTTTAAAAAATAATATTGCGTGCTGGACACAGGCACCATATCAAATCAATTTATATGGCGGTAGGCCTGATTAATCGGGCATTATCACAATCATCTTCTCATGTTCACACTAAATTGCTTTATTGGGGTTCAAGACAGGGAAATAGCATATAAATTGTTAAAAACTTATCTAAATTTCTCTTTCATCCCACTTGATCAAGACATACGAAATCATGTGTACGATTGCATCTTTGTTAGGTATTGAGTTTGATTATGTTGAAGAACTGATTGTGGAAAACAAAATTGGCATGATATTTGTGGCGAGTTGTAATTTGGAGGACTT